GAGGGAGTGAAAAGTGAGCTGGGGGAGTAGGCATGGTGAGGGCGTTTGATGGTGGAGAGGGATGGGGGAGGGTTGGTGAAGAGAAAAACGTTTTTTTTGTTTAAACTCTTTTTGGATGGTGAGAGAAAGAGGGGTGGTGGTTGGGGGGGTGCCCAGCCCTGTGCCAGGGCCTTGGCCCCCTTGACCCTCCCTGGCCCACCCTCCACCCCGAGCTGGCTCTCCAGCCCCTCCACCCTTCGGCCAGCCCAGCTCCTTCAACCCCTCTCCGCTCTCCAGCGCCACCGGCCCCAGACCAGCCCACCCCAGCTCCAGCTCTTCAGCTCAGCCCTTGAAAGAGTGGGAAAGGGATGGCAGGGGAGCCCAGCCCTGTGCCAGGGCCTTGGCCCCCTTGACCCTCCCTGGCCCACCCTCCACCCCGAGCTGGCTCTCCAGCCCCTCCACCCTTCGGCCAGCCCAGCTCCTTCAACCCCTCTCCGCTCTCCAGCGCCGCCGGCCCCAGACCAGCCCACCCCAGCTCCAGCTCTTCAGCTCAGCCCTTGAAAGAGTGGGAAAGGGATCAGGTGGCCCCTTCTCCACAGGCCACCCCAGACAGCGCCAGACCAGCAGTCAGAACAGGAAGCCACCGACACAGCAACAGAAAGCACAGACAGAACGCCCACCCCCCCCCCCTCCATTGCCCCGAGCGGAGCTAGCTGGGCCTCCAGCTTCAGCTACTTCAAAACCCCCCCCCCCCCACCCCCCCCGCCCCACCCCCTCCCCCCTCCCCCCTCCTCACGCCAACCCCCACCCCCCACCCCCCCAACCTCTCCCCCGCCATTCCCCCCGCCACCGCTCACCAACCAAGGCCCCCCAGATCAGCCCTCACCCCCTCCGGCCCTGGCCCAGCCCCAGTTCTCAGCCGGGGGGGGGGGGGGGTAGCTGCGGGGAGGGGGAGAGGGGTCTGGTGACTGGTCTGGAAAGGCCCCAGAATTAAATTTATTTAAATTATTTAAATTATTTAAATTATTTAATAGGGTCAATTAAATAAAATAAATAATTTAAATAATCTTGCTTATTTAAATTATTTAAATTAATTAAATTATTTAATGGGAGGCAATTAAATAATTTAAATAATTTAAATAATTTTGCTTATTTAAATTATTTTGATTATTTAAATTATTTAATAGGGGTCAATTAAATAATTTAAATAATTTAAATAAATTAAATAATTTAAATAAATTTAATTCAGGAAACTTTCCAGACCAGCCAGAAAAAAAATCAATTAAATAATTTAAATCCCGCAGTTTAATTAAATCATTTAATTGAGCTGTCGGATTTAAATTATTTAATTGCTTTGCTGGTTGGCCTGGAAAGTTCCCGGAATTAGATTTATTTAAATTATTTAAATTATTTAAATTATTTAAATTATTTGAATTATTTAAAATATTTAAATTATTTAAACTATTTAAATTATTTAATAGGGGTCAATTAAATAAATTAAATAGTTTAAATAATTTTGCTTATTTAAATTATTTAAATTATTTAAATTATTTAAATTATTTAAATTATTTAAATTATTTAATAGGGTCAATTAAATAAAATAAATGATTTAAATAATCTTGCTTATTTAAATTATGTAAATTACTTAAATTATTTAATGGGAGGCAATTAAATCATTTAAATAATTGAAATAATTTTGCTTATTTCAATTATTTTAATTATTTAAATTATTTAATAGGGGTCAATTAAATAATTTAAATAATTTAAATAAATTAAATAATTTAAATACATTTAATTCAGGAAACTTTCCAGACCAGCCAGAAAAAAAATCAATTAAATAATTTAAATCCCGCAGTTTAATTAAATCATTTAATTGAGCTGTCGGATTTAAATTATTTAATTGCTTTGCTGGTTGGCCTGGAAAGTTCCCGGAATGAAATTTATTTAAATTATTTAAATTATTTAAATTATTTAAATTATTTAATGGGGTCAATTAAATAAATCAAATAATTTAAATAATTTTGCTTATTTAAATTATTTTAATTATTTAAATTATTTAATGGGGGTCAATTAAATAATTTAAATAATTTAAATAATTTTTGCTTATTTAATTTATTTTCATTATTTAAATTATTTAATAGGGATCAATTAAATAATTTAAATAATTTAAATAAATTAAATATTTTAAATAAATTTAATTCAGGAAACTTTCCAGACCAGCCAGAAAAAAATCAATTAAATAATTTAAATCCCGCAGTTTAATTAAAATATTTAATTGAGCTGTCGAATTTAAATTATTTAATTGTTTTGCTGGTTGGCCTGGAAAGTTACCGGAATTAAATTTATTTAAATTATTTAAATTATTTAAATTATTTAAATTATTTAATAGGGGTGAATTAAATAAATTAAATAATTTAAATAATTTTGCTTATTTAAATTATTTTAATTATTTAAATTATTTAATGGGAGGCAATTAAATAAATTAAATAATTTAAATAATTTTGCTTATTTAAATTATTTTAATTATTTAAATTATTTAATGGGAGTCAATTAAATAATTTAAATAATATAAATAATTTAAATAATTTTTGCTTATTTCAATTCTTTTAATTATTTACATTATTTACTAGGGATCAATTAAATAATTTAAATAATTTAAATAAATTAAATAATTTAAATAAATTTAATTCAGGAAACTTTCCAGACCAGCCAGAAAAAAAACAATTAAATAATTTAAATCCCGCAGTTTAATTAAATTATTTAATTGAGCTGTCGGATTTAAATTATATAATTGTTTTGCTGGTTGGCCTGGAAAGTTCCCGGAATTAAATTTATTTAAATTATTTAAATTATTTAAATTATTTAAATTATTTAAATTATTTCAATTATTTAATAGGGGTCAATTAAATAAATTAAATAATTTAAATAATTTTGCTTATTTAAATTTTTTAAATTATTTAAATTATTTAATGGGAGGCAATTAAATAAATTAAATAATTTAAATAATTTTGCTTATTTAAATTATTTTAATTATTTAAATTATTTAATGGGAGTCAATTAAATAATTTAAATAATTTGAATAATTTTTGCTTATTTAAATTATTTTAATTATTTAAATTATTTAATAGGGGTCAATTAAATAATTTAAATAATTTAAATAAATTAAATAATTTAAATAAATTTAATTCAGGAAACTTTCCAGACCAGCCAGAAAAAAAGTCAATTAAATAATTTAAATCCCGCAGTTTAATTAAATTATTTAATTGAGCTGTCGGATTTAAATTATTTAATTGTTTTGCTGGTTGGCCTGGAAAGTTACCGGAATTAAATTTATTTAAATTATTTAAATTATTTAAATTATTTAATAGGGGTCAATTAAATAAATTAAATAATTTAAATAATTTTGCTTCTTTAAATTATTTAAATTATTTAAATTATTTAATGGGAGGCAATTAAATAAATTAAATAATTTAAATAATTTTGCTTATTTAAATTATTTTAATTATTTAAATTATTTAATGGGACTCAATTAAATAATTTAAATAATTTAAAAAATTTTGCTTATTTGAATTATTTTAATTATTTAAATTATTTAATAGGGGTCAATTAAATAATTTAAATAATTTAAATAAATTAAATAATTTAAATAAATTTAATTCAGGAAACTTTCCAGACCAGCCAGAAAAAAAATCAATTAAATAATTTAAATCCCGCAGTTTAATTAAATCATTTAATTGAGCTGTCGGATTTAAATTATTTAATTGTTTTGCTGGTTGGTCTGGAAAGTTCCCGGAATTAAATTTATTTCAATTATTTAAATTATTTAAATTATTTAAATTATTTAAATTATTTAATAGAGGTCAATTCAATAAATTAAATAGTTTAAATATTTTTGCTTATTTAAATTATTTTAATTATTTAAATTATTTAATGGGAGGCAATTAAATAATTTAAATAATTAAAATAATTTTTGCTTATTTAAATTATTTTAATTATTTAAATTATTTAATAGGGGTCAATTAAATAATTTAAATAATTTAAATAATTTTTGCTTATTTAAATTATTTTAATTATTTAAATTATTTAATAGGGGTCAATTAAATAATTTAAATAATTTAAATAAATTAAATAATTTAAATAAATTTAATTCAGGAAACTTTCCAGACCAGCCAGAAATTATTTAAATTATTTAATTTCTTTAATAGGGGTCAATTAAATAAATTAACTAATTTAATTAATCTTGCTTATTTAAATTATTTAAATTATTTAAATTATTTAATCGGTGTCAATTAAATAAATTAAATAATTTAAATAATTTTGCTTATTTAAATTATTTTAATTATTTAAATTATTTAATGGGAGGCAATTAAATAAATTAAATAAGTTAAATAATTTTGCTTATTTAAATTTTTTAATTTTTTTAAATTATTTAATGGGAGTCAATTAAATAATTTAAATAATTTAAATAAATTAAATAATTTAATTTCACTTATTAAAACAAAGGAAGGAGCTAAATAGACCCGAAAGGTTGCTCTCTCATACCTGTATACAATTGATTATAGAGGGTACCCCAAACAGGACTATAATTTACAGAATCCTAGAACTGTGACGGAAAAGGCCCTGACGGCTTAAACAGCGCGGCCGGCTGATGTACGAAGCCCTGAAAAGCCCCCTACAAGTACTCAAGCTCTGATAAACCCTGCACCTCGAAACCCGTAAGACCAAAAGACAACACCCCCCTTCAGCTGACCCTCTGCACAAGTGCATTTTCTATTTTGCCTTCGTTTAAGAGGATCATCTCAGGAATGTTTTTCAGAGGGTTGTAAGGGCCATCCTAGCTAATGAAGTGTCGTTGCATGTCGAAGAGTACATGAGACAAGAACCTACAACCAAGGCTCCAAGAGCTCTCTTTGTCCCCTCTGTGGAGCGCTTCGGTTTCTCCGCTCCCCACAATTCTCAACGTGCGAACCCAAAAACCCTAACGAGAAAGGGTACTCACTAGGAGCCCAAGGATCCCAGTTCTACACGCTTCCGGGGTCCCCACTGCAATGGACTCCCGGGATCTTGTGCCCAGAAAGGTAGACCTGGCAGAAAGTTGAGGGCTTTTGCTACGAAAGGCGTGCAAAGGGAACACATGGTCAGTTCTCTTGATTGTGGTGCCTTTTTTTGGGGTACCCTGAATAAGAGGGGCCACCTTATAATAAGGAATCACAGTTTTTTTTGAAAACACGATATCCTGAACCCTTGGCATGACAGGCCCTAGAAGGGCCTGCTGCCGACCTGCCCGAGCCCAAAGGGCTCAAGGCCTGATGTAGGGGCCAATTAGAGAAGGGTTTGGGCGGGTTATTATAGTGTAGGGACCAGAAGGGTTATAGTAGTTATTCCGACCCCTATATTACATGGCTTAGAGGGTTTCAAGGATTCAGGGTACCAAGTGCAGCTCTCCCGAGCTTTAAATATCTGAAGACCCGGCCGAGCACGAAATCTGCAAGCAACATTCGTATCAACGGGAGCCATCTGCCCCTGCCCCACTGATGCTGCCTCATCCAGCCCTAGGGGCCCATTCGCGATGGTCACGTCGAACTGCGAAACGCGCACCTCGGAAGGATGTGAGCGTGCCGTCCATGACACTCGACTCTCTCGAATCTCTGCGGGGGAGGTGCTTGGAGATGTGCTGCAGCTGAATGCAGAATTAGATCCATCAATAACCCGTTCGCCCATGTAAGTTCATTGGGTGCGGCGAGGTGACACTTTGCTGTCGTGACAGGTAATGGGCGCACTATGCACAAAGGCGTGCAACTAGTCGACCGCCTGCAGGACTGGCGTAACGTGCACTCACGCAATGCATGGGCCGAAAATGCAGCGACAGGGCGGGGTGTTTCTGGGATCACAACATCCGACCATGTTCCCAGTTCCTCAGACCACTGCTCGCTCGTTGGCGTCGGCAAGCGTGTGGTCCTCCGACAGCCTCTGCGGAGGCTCGCTCGGGGTGCTCAACAATATAGGGAGGCTCAGGGATGTGCAGCTCCTGCTCCTGCAGGAACCACAATAAACCCTAAACCCTAAACCCTAAACCCTAAACCCTAAACCCTAAACCCTAAACCCTAAACCCTAAACCCTAAACCCTAAACCCTAAACCCTAACAGAGCTTGCAGCTGAGCTGCCTGACTCCAGCCACCGTGACCTTGTTCGGCCTCGTCATGTCACTCCATCCGCCCCTCCGCATACTGAAACAACTGATCCGGCAGACTGTGTTGCACGTTCCGGTTCCTCTCCCTAGCCCCAAACCCACGAAACTGCACAGACTCTCGGCCGAAAACAAGGCTCTCCGATGTCGAGGTTCAATCTAGAGTCCCCGATGCCTCGATATCGATCTTGTGAGAACGTCCCAAGATGTTTCAATGTCCTACTCGAAACCGAAGCTGCGAGCTCCAGCGGAGGTGTCTGCGGCTAACCAGTGTGATGATAGGAGCTTTGTATGGATTCTTCTGAATCTGAACCCTAATCCAAGACGGACATCTTATAACCCAGCTGCAAGAAAGCCCATGCAGATGCATCATGCCTGGACCTTTACGGTGCGAGAATCTGCTGCTAGAGATTGTCCGGACCTGGGTCCTAGGATCTATAAGTTGTCGGAGCAGGTCGCAAAGTGCAGGACATTAGGAAGCCCCCAAGACTCAAAAATCTTCAGAGGCTTCGAGCCAGGAACGTCCCAGGCCTCCGCCGTCTTCGGTTGGAAGCACCAGAGGAGGAGTGGCCTCCGTGCATCGTCCCACCTAGGAACCTAAAGGACACGTCTAGGTGGTATAGCTGCTTCCCTCTGACCATCTCTATATAGTCCTCAGTACCCCTTTTGACTTTTACCTTATAGCTCACATAAGCGCCTTCTAAGTTTTACACCTCCCGCATGAATGATGAAGACCCTGCTGTTGCGAACGCAGGCCTTCCGATCCGATGGAGGTGCGTCGACCCTGCAGCCACGGTAGGGTTTTGTTGGAGGGCTTTGGAAGATCTCTTCGAAGGCTTCGGTTTGAACCAGAAAACGAGCATGGGCCCGTGATGAAGGCACACTCGGTGCAATACAAGCAAAGGCGCTGCACAATGCCCAATCAAGAACACACAAGATAGTCCGTCGCTCAACTTACGCAGGTACCCCACTGCTGGCTAGAAACAGACACACATGCACTCACCACTCGCGCGCACGCACACGTGAGCGCGCTGCGCTTGCCGTTTGGCCCCAAGCCTGCGGAACCCTCTTGCCGGACGGGTCCTGAATGGTCCTGAAACCCCAAGCAGTAAACCGTAACCCGAGCAACGAACCCCGAAGTACTATAAAGCCTACAGACGCAAGGCCTCCGTGAGGGCTCCACCTTCGTCTATGTACTCCCCCAGGACGCAGCGGCAGTCACCTTGGGAGGAGTTTACCCGAAGGTCAGCTTCTCATCGAACCCTCCAAGAGACATCCCAACGAAGGTTTTGACGGTTTTGAGTGGGTCAGGCAAGCCACCTGCGCTTCAACCCTCCCTAAACCCAAATGTGGAGCTAGGGCTGTCCGGGTGCTTTGAATGGGCTTCTTACATGTCGTCCTCCATCAATCCAAAATCTGTTTGGGGACCCATGCAGTTTCACGCTTGAGTAATGGGGAATCAAAATGATCTGCACGTCAATCTGCCCCTGAAACGACCGATTGACGCGCCAGAGCCCTACATTTTCAGTGCACACCAGACGAGGCGTCAATGGCCCATAGCCTATCCCCCCTCACATCTCAAAGGATGCTTGCCAGATCTGACTTCCACATGTTCAGAGGAGACAGTTAACGTTGATTGTCCATAGCTTACTCCATCCGTCACACCAGGCACCACCGTAGCCGAAGGATGTCTGCAAGCAAATGGCCAACCCAGGCGCAGAAAAGCCACCTGCGGCCAAGTTGCCGAGGTCGGGTTTCGGGTATTGGAGCTTCAACTCAGAAGGCTATGCCGCTAAGCAACATCTCGGGTAGACTGCTAGTGAGAACTGGTCTACAGCGTCCTGTAACAGATTCATCTCGCCTCTTCTTCATGTCGTAGACCACTACGCAGGCCGTCCTTGGCATGCAGCATGTCAAAAGATCCACTGATGTGCCTACCTTCTCCCAAGCAAGCACGAACATCCACAAGACGCAGAACCTTCAACAACAAACGATGCCTGGAGTTACGGCAAAGGTGCCCCTACAAAAACCGACTCACGCCCGAACGGCAAGCCTGACTAGGTGGTGAGGGGCGGCGAATTCGTAAACCCGACCTGCAGCCAAACCCAGAAGACTAAACCCCCACAACACAGTGCATGTTGAAACAGCTTTAGGTACTGCAAGTCGTCATGGGTTTAGGATAACATGTCAGATCCGAACCTGAAACCAAACCACCCTACACCCTAGGCCCCTGGATCCCCTACCTACACCCCGACGTGGGAACCGCCCTAAACCCTAAACCCTAAACCCTAAACCCAAAATCCTAAACCCTAAACCCTAAACCCTAAACCCTAAGCCCCAAACACTAAACCCGAAACCCTAAACGACCTTCCTCCGAAGCACCGCCTCCCTGTCTCGACAGGGCACGCGCCACTGCCCCTGGCATCCACCGCCTTTCCGCATCCCGCAGAGTCTGACCCCTCGGGGTTTCATAGGGTTTAGGGTTTAGGGTTTAGGGTTAAGGGTTAAGGGTTAAGGGTTTAGGGTTTAGGGTGGCAGCCTTTGGGGTTTCAGGGGTCCCCCATTTTCGCAAACCCCCAACTGAAAATCCGCCCAGAACTCCCACACTGTCCGCAAAAAATCTGCAATGGCCCCTCACATTTCGGGTGCCCTCACAAAAGGCCCGTGACCATGATGTCGATAGCCGATAGCTGGCCAGATGATTCCAGTGTTGGATGGGAAGGCAAGGGGGGTGATCCAAATTCAACGAAAACCCTAAACCCTACCACTGCACAAGGCGTTGGTGAGAGTAGTGAAACGGCTTCTGAGATCACTCCCTTTTGGCACACGAAACTATCAGAAATTTACTAGCACACGATGGCAGGGTTCAGGGCTTAGAGTTTGGGTTCAGGGGTATTCAGAATTTAGAATTCAGAGGTCAGGGCGGTTAGGGTTTATGCATGGTCACTTAAATATAAGGTTCAAAGGGTGGTGCAAGCTGACGCAAGAGGCTGACGGGCGAAGAGTCATCAAACTGCAACAAAAAGTGGCAGCTTGAGGCCGGGACCAGGGGAAAATGAAGCTAGAGAGGGTTTGGGGCCATACGGGCCACCGGGTTCCCTGTTTTGAGGCATGTGCAGCAAATCCTGCCCGAGGTACAGACTTCGGTGCGAAGCTGCCAAAACCCTGAACGCTCAACCCGAAACCCTGAAACTCCATGGTTCAGACTTGGGTGTGCTGTCCACCTCTTCGCCCGAGAAGAGCGCGTAGTGCGCGTCCTCGGGCCGAATTATCGGGTAGGGTTTAAGGTTCCAGTTTAGGGTTTAGGGTTTGGGGCTTCGGGTTCATAGGGATCATAGGGCTTATAGAGGTTACAGGGTTTACAGGGCTTATCAGGTTTAGGGCGTGGTAGGGTTCAGGGTTTTGGGTTTTGGGCTTTGGGGTTTCGGGCACGTCCTGCCATTGCGGGCTGTGGTTGCACGCACGCAACTACAGGTCAAAAACGTCTGGCCTAAGCTGAATCAGCACAAAGGAAGGGTCTATCTGCCCAGCCTCAGTCGTGCAAGATCTCATGGAGGACCTTTATGCTGAACACTGCAAACTGTGGCCCCAAAGTTTGGATAGCACCCGCAGAGTATTGCATGCCTGACCAGATGAGGTCGTTGTATTGTGGTGACTTGAGAACCAGACCCTTGGAAGATCCAAAAAGTAGAGCCACAAAAAAAGTACCCTAAAACCCTAAACCCTACACCCTAAACCCTCTCCATTGGGTCATTCTTTGGAACTTTTTCAAGGTGATCTACTTCTTTTTGGATCCTCCGAGGGGTCTGGGTACGAAGGGGCTCAGCAGCAGTCCTCTAAGGCCTTTGTAAGCTGGGTGTGGATCTGGATCCTGGCTTTGAGGTAGGACTAAACCCCAACAGAATTCAGGGTTATAGGGTTTAGGGTTTGGGGTTTGGGGTTTAGGGTTTGGGGTTTCGGGAGTTTTCGAATGGGATTCGCATTCCAGAGACCTGAATGCATGAGCGTTCGGGATCCACTTACAGAAGGAAGGATGTTGGGTGCAAAGCGTTACCCAGCAGGTCTTGCAAGTAGCAGAGAGACAATCAACACGCAAGGTCTTGTACTGCTCGACCCCCAGCATACTGGACCCCAAAACACAGATCTGAACACCATGGCCATACCACCGAACCTAACCCAAAAAATGCATCCACGTCCCAAAAAACATCCCAGTTGCATGCCGTCTAGACCTGTGCTGAAGCTCGAGCGTTGTTCAATTGTAGGCACTGTAGGCTTGATTAATGAATTACGTAGGTTTCATTGCGGCAGGACAGCGTAAACCCCACATCCTAAACACATTGCCAAGTTCAGAATTCAGAGCCCTTAGCCCTAAACCCGAGACCCTCAGAACACTAAACCCTCAAAACCCTGTAACTTAAATCTGCTCAACAGTTACAAAAAGAATCTCCCCAGAACTTTCCTCGAACTCCCGGAAACTCCTCCTTGCAAGTGGAAACTAATATACTGCAAGTAGAAACCCCTTGAAACTCCCCGAAAGTCATCGAAACTTTCCCCGGACCTGAACCCATAATGATTTCAATAAGCCCGCCTGTGCTCGTTGAGGTCGGATGCTCGCTTGCCCGGCAAGGAAGCCACCAGTCGCCGTAGGAGGAAGTCCCTGACCTGATCGGCATTTGCGCTTCGGGGTTTTCAGAACTTTAGGCTACTACCCTAAACATCCCTAAACCCTAAACCTAAACGCTGAGGGTCTGGGGTTTTGTGCTGCAGGGGGCTCAGGCTTCAATTCAGGTATTGGAGCACGGGGCTCCAACATGTTCAAAAACAGTGTGTGAGGTTTCAGGGCTAGGGCGGATAAGGAATCCCCTTAAACCTCCTGTCTGCGAGGCTTGTGGTTTTGGCTCAGGGGCGGAGGGATGATGCTGGTACGTCTTTTTCTCATGGGCACAGCTTCGGACTTGAACGGTTCGTCGCAGGCCATGGATTGGGCTTGTAGTCTTGGAGCTGCCTTGTCAGCCATCAGGGTTTCGAAGTTGTGGCTGCTTTATAGAGCGTCCACGACGGACAGAGGCCCGAGGCTTAGGATGCGATTCCAAAAAAAACAGCCCACGCGGCTCCCGACACCAGGACCTTCAACCCCACCCTAAACCCGAAACCCTAACCCCTAAACCCTACTTAACCCCTGCGACCCGGTGCTCCCTTGCAGAAACCGCAATAGACCCCCACGCATCGGGCCTTACTTGCGCAGCGTTCTAAACACCTGCATCTCTGAGTCCAAAAAAGCCCTAAACCCTAAACCGAGCCGAAACCCTCTAAACCCTAAGTGGGTTCCCCTACAGGAATCCTATACAGTTCACAACCCAATTCGTTATATCCTTGTGAGCCTCTGAGGCTCGAGGCGGCTGCCGCTGCGCGGTGGCCCTCGGCTCCGTGACCGTCAATGACAGCACCTTAAATCAGGGATTCGGCAGAAACATGTAAAACATAAAAACATATTGGTATGAAGGATTATAGAAGCAATTATGTACATCATATACAAGCATCCACCTCAGGCTAGAATAACAGCCTGAAGCCACTCGGCCCGGGAAAACAGCCCGAGTTTAGAATATCAGCCCGAATGAAGAATAGTGGCCCGAAGGGGCTTTGCGCAAGAAGCTTCAGGTCAACTAGCTCTCAAACTAATCACGATGTAGAGGCTTGACATGCAATCGAAGCTTCCAGCACATGAGCACCTACTCACTAAGCATAATGTTCAGCCGTTGAAGCAGCACAGAAAACTTTGAGGCCACAAGCCACGGATTCGGAGGAAGCAAAGCAGGATTTTGTTTTTCAGGGCTCGTTGGGTAGCCCAATCTCAAGCACAGCCTGAAAGATGGAAGCTTTTGAGCTGCGGCCCTGAAAGCACAGCATGCTTTATCAGCATATGCAGCAAGACGCTACGTCGGGGATTTTCGGCTGATTTGCGGGGATTGTTGCCTGATTTGCGGGGAATCTCGCCTGATTTTTGGGCATGTAATTGCGCCTTTCAAGCTTGCATCTGTGATGCTGAGTCTGCACACGTACCTGGACAGCAGATCTTGGCAAAGCAACAGCACCTGCAAACAAAGTAGAAGTCCATTGCTGTACCTGATCCACTCATCCTTCAGTGGGTTTGGCCTCGACCGGAAGAAAAAGAGGAGCCCATATGGGTTCTGTTGTCAACAACCTGGGTTGGAAGAGCAAAGACACTGCAATCGGTCGGATCATCACTGGCCCAGTGATAGTAAGATCCATGCCCCAGTTTTCACAAACTGCTAAATACATATATATATATATATATGCATACGTATATAGCGCCGGAGAAAATGAAGTGGATTTTTGGTAGCTGCTTCTCAAAACGATGTGGGAATCACAAAGGGGCATGATTGGGACTTGCTTACTCTCCCGCATGCTGTCGGTGGGTACATTATCTCTCGTGACAGACGGCTGTTCAAGTGGCCTGGCCAAGGATCTCACGGGGCCTCTGAGCACGACGCGACGCACGGGTGCTCTCAATCTCAAGTTCTTCCAATTGTCATGCGTGAGCTGGTGAGCATGCGACTCAACAATGATTTTGGACTGCGCGCGGTCATTGTCTCCAGCTCGGTGGCGTGCATCTGGGAGTCTGCGTAGATACGTGCGGTCAGGTGAGAGCGGACCCCTGCTTCGCGAAGGACACAGGTCTGAGAGCCAAGGAGCAAATTGCGAGAAGAAAGCGAAAAGGCGAAGGGGAACACGCTTACGCAGCCAGAGTGTGCTTTCCAGGTAGCAAGCAATAAAGGCATCATGCCATGCACTTCCAGGATGATGGTGATGATGACGATGACGATGACGACGACAACAACGGACGAGGACAACGACGATGATGTAGCGGTGGCGGCTGCTGCTTCTGAAGGTGATGATGATCAGGAGGAGGAGAAGGACGCTGATGAGGATGATGGTGACGGTGCCGGCTGGTGAGCTGCAAGACAGATGACGGTTGTGATTTTGGCGGAGATGGTGATGATGGTGTTGACGCACGAATTTGACAGTGGTGAGATTGAGCTGCTGTCCTCCTATGTAAGTAGTTCTTGAAAATGTGGCCAACCCTTCACCTTACAACCCCTAAACCCGAAACCTTCAACACTGAACCCCTAAACCCTGACCTGTCTGCTGCACACGCAGTCGGGGCTCCCAGCACACGCGATAGCCGTCTTTCAATTCGACGAAGAAGGCTTCGTCCTATGTCGCTTAGATGTGGGGTTTAAGTGTTAGGGTGTTTGGGTGTTTTTGAAGCCTTGGTACCCGAAACTCATCAGGAGGAGTTGATCGCGCACGTACGATAGTTGAGACGCCAACGAAGGATGTTAGAGGTAGTTCTTAAGGCGCTAAAAGTCTCGGAGCTTGGGGTTGTTGGGGATTTTGAAGGATCTTGTGGGTCTTGAGGGTTTTGGGCACTTAGGCTGTGTCATCTTGATCCATGACCCGAACGGTTGTTTTCAGCCTTAGGGAAGGCTTGGCTCCAGAGGATCATGTCAGCTCTGGGCTCAAAGCCCGAACGAAACCCACACCCTGAAAATCCTAAACCCTGTACCTTTTCAAGCTAAGGCATTGGGATGACAGTCCTTAATAGGGATTATCACGGGGTGTACTAGAATCCCTACTAAGGACTGCTAGTTTTAGGGGGAACATCCCAACTCGGGCAATTGGACTACATCCGTGAGTTCCTGCCTGGTTTGGACGCTGCCAGCTGGGCAAGCGAGCGCGCTCGGACCCTTGGCAATCGCCAGCTTGTACCGGGGATGTCATGAACGACATTTCAACTCTTTGACAGCGACAGGAAAGGACACCACACACTTGATCTCAACAAACCCGTGGAAGAACTGGAGACTCTGCAAAACACTGAGGGTGGAGCGTGTTTACTTTTGACGTTGTGAGCAGCGGAACGTTCTACACGGAGGGCAAAATCTGGAGGCGAATCAGATTTCATATACCCTCTTATACCCTTTTAATGGCACCCTGAGCTGCAGGAAATAAACGGCTCTAAGGACCTCATGATTTCGCAAACCCTCCAAGAAACCTCATAAAGTCCGAAGCCACCGCCTCACAATACAGGAGCACAGTGGCACAGTAGCTGAGTAGCTCAGTAGTAATGCAGTGGTCGCACAGTGCAGCAAGGGTAGTAGTCGTCGTCGTAATAGTAGTAGTAGTAGTAGTAGTAGTAGTAGTAGTAGTAGTAGTAGTAGTAGTAGTAGTAGTAGTCGTCGTCGTCGTCGTAGCAGCAGTAGAAGCAGCAGCAGCAACAGCAGCAGCAGCAGCAGCAGCAGCAGCAGCAGTAGCAGAAGTAGTAGCAGTAGAAGTAGCAGCAGCAGTAGCAGCAGCAGTAGCAGCAGCAGCAGCAGCAGCAGCAGCAGCAGCAGCAGCAGCAGCAGCAGCGGCAGCGGCGGCAGCAGCAGCAGCAGCAGCAGCAGCAGCAGCAGACTACCAACACCACTATCACTACTACCACCACGGCCACTGCTGCTCCTGCTCCTGCTACAGCTAGTGCTACTACTAGTGCTACTGATACTACTACTCTACTCTCGTCGACGACGACGACTACTACTACTACTACCAGTGCAAGGCACATGACTGGCCGATCTGGCTATACACAAAGATATATGCCACGGGGTGAACCTTCCATCGAATGGTCCCCGCTGGGAGGCATCCAGATGCCGAGCGTGCCATCGCTGAAAAATTCGTATTTCCCACTGCAGCCCCGTGCGTACAAGAAACTCAAGAAACATGCCCCCAAAGCCATAAGGCCTCAGAGGAACACAACTCCACGTCACTACTTGTGAGCAAGCAGGAGCGTCAAAACCCCGTCTGGATTTGGGGAGGCGAGCGGAAGGCCCAGCCGAGACGAAACGAAGATGTATACTACAGCGCTCGGTGTACGCGAGGCCAGAATGCAGGAGGAAACCCTCAACGAAGGCAGGAGGCCAGATGAGCGAGAGGGCCGGAGATGTGTGACAAGCGGCAAGCGAGCTTAGGGGTCAGTGAAGGGGCGGGCCTCGCCCGCGCCTGGCGACAGGCGACGGAGCACAGCACGGGCGTTCTCACGCTGCAGCACCACGGAGAGGCTTTGCAGGAGGCGATCCGTTTCAACCCCCGGACTATCGCCAGAGCGCGCCGCGATCAGGCCCGCGAGCTGGCGCCAGGTAGACGCAGCCGTTGGACCCCAACCACCGCTGCTTGCCTCCGCAACAAGCGGGACGAATTGGAGGCCTTCACCTTTGCAGTGTTGCTCTGTCTGGAGGTGGGTGCGCTTGCGCGCCTCGTAGGCTTCAGCCGCGGCTACGCCGGAGCGCGCGGACTCAGACAGGACGGCTCCTGCACGGAGGCCGGAAGTGACGGCAAGGTCAAATGCGGCGGCGCCATGCAAGCCCCATTGCGCAACCCATACATCCGCTGGGCGGCGATGCCCGGCACCCCGGCCGCCATCCTCAGCACCATCACCATCCGGTCGCAGGGGAAGCAGGCCCGGCTTCTCGACCTCAACCCCAAGCCCAGCAGCCTGCACTCGAGCAGCAACCACGGCCCTGAGACGGTTATGGCGCTTGACTCAATCCCCGCCACATGGGCAGCAACGAGAATGGTCGCCAAAGCTGTCAGCGACACCGTCGCACAGGGGGCAATGCGTGTCTTCCGGAGAGACGGGGAGGCGGAGGCGGAGCTGCACCATCACGCGGAAGAGGCGGGGCGCAACATGGAGCCCAAGAGCCTCGCTGGGGAGGGCGTGGAGCCAGGCCCCAGAGCCTGGAAGCTCGAGGAGGCGCAGATGGGCCCGGGCGGCCTCACGACCTTGGCCCGGAGCAAGGAGCTGCGAGATCACTGCGCGATCGAGTGCCTGAGACAGCTCACGCTGCCGGGTGGTAAGTGGCACGGGCGCACGCAAATGGTCTGACTGCAGGACATCTTGGTTGTGGGCGGTGATCGCTGCGAGGTAGGCAGAGTGGGTGGCAAGGTCGTAGTCGGGGTCCAACAAAACACACGCCTGCGCAGTGTTGACCAGGGAGGCCAGGTAAGCGGCGGGCGCATGCCGTCGGGTAGAGCGGAGGCCCAATCCACCGACGGAGGTTGCCAGCGTGGCCTGAGCCCACGCCTCGGAACGCAAAGGGCCAGTGCACATGTGCTCAAGGCAAGCCCTGACATCGGCATCGAAGGCATCGAGGGCAGTGCTATGGAGGCCTGGAGGGGTGACCCGGGAGGCGTAGGCGAGCCGACAGAAAGACGCGCAGTGCCGCAACAGCTACCACTACTACTACTACTACTACTACTACTACTACTACTACTACTACTACTACTACTACTACTACTACTACTACTACTACTACTACTACTACTACTCCTGCTACTACTACTACTACTACTACTACTACTACTACTACTACTACTACTACTACTACTACTACTACTACTACTACTACTACTACTACCTTTTTTTCTACTACTTCTATGCTCAACGCTGTTGGACATTCCCTAAACCCAAAAGTCCTCGGCCGTGTGCAGCCCAGGATCGGATGCTCGCAAAATGCTCATCTCCAATGGACTCCATGCTGGGCAAGCCTCTGTGGAACGGGGTTTAGGCTTGAGGGTTCAGGGTGTAGGGTTTTGTGGGCTTCCGACATTTCACATGCTTTATGGGGGTTAGGGTATGTGAGATTTAAGGTCTTTTGGGTCTAGGACCACTAGCTACAGCGCACAGGCGTGAAAACTGCCCCGGGCCTCTACCGGAGATCAGGCTGAATGGAAAAGAACCTCAAATTCACCCAAAACTTCCAAAACCCCGAAACCCCTTGAGCAGGAAAAACTGCCTAAATTAGAGTCGTCAGGAGCCTTCAAATTGTAGAGGAAGTTCTGGGCAGTATACCGAGTCTTTGAACATGACGCGGCCTGGGGTTCGGGGGTCCGCCGTACTCGTGTTTATGAGGCCACCTTTGTGTAGCGACACTTCTGGCCCTTAAGCTATACAACTACGTGACATCAGTGAATCTAAAGCAGATTCCTCACTTGCCTGAACACCTTATACTTGTACCCGAACCCAGGAATTGCGCTTCTACTACAACTATCTACGGAGTTGGGCGACCTTGTGGGGAGGCGATCTGCAGGCGGGCCTACCACATAGACAGGCTTCACGTCATAGGCCGAATCCTGATCTGGGCTTTTGCGTGAGTTGCGATCCCACATCCGGTTCGGCAACGTATCGGCATCAAAACAGGCACATGGGCACGTTAAGGAGGCGGGGAGCTTTCTTCCTTGGAGCATCAGACCCAGGTCAGAAGTCGCAATCAAATGGGTGTGGCCTGGATAGCACCTCAAAAGTCAAGAGCGATGCAAAAGTATCGGAGCTTGCCTGGATCTTTGTCACAGGTCAAAGCCAACAAGTGGTTCGAGTCACCCATCATCAAGACAGTTTTTAAATGTCAGGCAGTCCTCGATTGCCTGGCCTTGGTTTTGCTACATGGAGCGGTCGCAAACGGCAACCTTGACAAACGGGAACTGGAACAATCTCAACAACCCTAAACCCTCATTTCGATCATCTTAAACTCCCCGCGCGTTAACAAAAAAAACAACATCAAGCAATCAGCGTCCTGAGCCTTAAGCGCCAATCTTACCCCAAAATGTTGAACATCCGGTCCTGGTCTGCTAGGCCAGTTGACATCGCGACCACCTGAGCCAAGAATGCGCGCTCGACACAAGCACAGAACCTTTTGGAACATCTTGCTTCGTGGTTGAGGGGCGGAAGCAAGTTTCAGCTTGCGGTTTAAGGCTTTGTGGGTTTCGGGAGGCCTGGCGGAAGGGTCGGGCTTGGGGCACAGAGATACTGGAAACGTGCATGGTTCAAATTTTCCTGGGTTCACACGTTGGCTTGTTCCAGTATAGAAGTAGTAGATCCATACTAGACCAGCAGTAGTAGTAACAGCAGTAGCCGTCTTCGTCGTCGTCGGCTTGGTGAGCAGCAAACATCACATTGCAGCAACGTCAGAGGTGCGTCCCAGTGCGAGGGATCCTTTGGGTCTGTGGCATGGGCTTTACCCAGCACTCTCGCCGCATGTCCGTAAGATATGCTGAGGTGGACATAGGGGTTTAGGATATATGGTTTAGGGAGGATAGGGTTTAGGGGACGTTGAGTCACGACCTCCGGACTTCTCCCAGGACCTTTTGCATCCCCCGCTGCGCGTGTAGCAAACGCCAGTTTCGCCCAGGAGCCCCCCTAAA